AAAGTCTTATAGTTTTCAGTGTATAGGTCTTTCATCTCCTTGGTTAAATTTATTCCTAGGGCTTTTAAAAAATTTTTGATACAATTATAAATTATAAATGGATTGGTTTCTTAATTTGTCTTTTGGATGGTTTGTTATTAGTGTATAGAAATGTAACAGATTTCTGTATACTGATTTTGTATCCTGCAACTTTACTGAATATATTTATTAGTTTTAACAGTGTTTTTGGTGGAATCTTTAGGATTTTCTATATATGGTATCATGTCATCTGCAAGTAGTGACGATTTTACTTCTTCATTTCCAATTTGGATGCCTTCTATTTCCTTTTCTTGTCTGATTGCTGTGGCTAGGACTTCCAATACTATGTTGAATAAAAGTGGTAAGAATGGGCATCCTTGCCTTGTTCCTGTTCTTAGAGGAAAAACTTCCAGCTTTTCACTATTGACTATTATGTTAGCAGTGGGTTTTTCATATATAGCTTTTATTATGTTCAGGTATGTTCTCTTTATACCCACCTTGTTGAGAGTTTTTATCATAAATGGCTGTTGAATTTGTCAAGTGCTTTCTCTACATATATTGAGATGGTCACATGATCTTTAGCCTTCATTTTGATAATGTGGTATATCATGTTATTATTTTTTCTTCTTTTTGTGTTGTTTTTGTCCAATTTTGATATCAGAGGAATGTTGGCCTCATAAAATGAGTTTGGAAATATTTCCTTTTGCTCAAGTTTTAGGAAGAGTTTGAGAAGAATAGGTATTAAATCTTCTTTGAATGTTTGATAGAACTCACCAGTGAAGCCATCTGGTCCTGGACTTTTGTTTGTTGGGAATTTTTCATTACTAATTCAAACCTCTTACTAGTAATTGGTCTATTTAGATTTTCCATTTCTTCATGATTCAGTCTTAGAAGATTGTATGTTTCTAGGAATTTATTCATTTCTTCTATGATGTTCAATTTGTTGGCATATAATTATTCATAATAGTCTTTTTTGATCCTTCATATTTCTGTGGTATCAGTTGTAACTTCTCTTTCATTTCTGATTTTATTTATTTGAGCTTTCTTTCTTTTTTCTTAATAAGTCTAGCTAAAAGGTTTGTTAATTGTGTTTATTTTTTTGAAGAATCAGCTCTTAGTATCACTGATTTTTTTTTTAATTGTTCTATAGGTCTCTATTTTATTTACTTCTGCTTTGATCTTTATCATTTCCTTCCTTCTACTAACTTTAGCCTTCAAATGTTCTTATAATTCCTTTAGGTGGAAAATTAGATTGCTTATTTGAGATTTTTCTTGTTTCTTGAGGTAGGCCTGTATCACTATGAACTTCCCTCTTAGAACTGCTTTTGCTACATCCCATGATTTTGTATTGTTGTATTTCCATTTTTATTTGTCTCAAGGTCTTTTTTGATTTCCCATTTGATTTCTTCATTGATCCATTTGTTGTTCTGTAATATGTGGCTTAATCTTCACATGTTTGTGATTTTTCCAATTTTCTTTTTGTAATCGATTTCCAGTTTCATACCACTGTGGTCAGAGAAGATGCTTGATATGATTTCAGTCTTCTTAAATTTATTGAGACTTGTTTTGTAGCCTAACGTGTTATTTATCCTGGAGAATCTCCCATGTTCACTTGAGAATCTGTATTCTGCTGCTTTTGGAGGGAATGTTCTGTATATATCTCTTAAGTCCACCTGGTCTAATGTGTCATGTAAGATGTCATGGCTGTTGTTTCCTTATTGATTTTCTGCCTGGTTGATCTAGCCATTGAAGTAAGTGCATTAGTGAAGTTCCCTACTATCATGGTATTCTGTCAATTTCTCCCTTTATGTGTGTTAATATTTGCTTTATATATTTAGGTGCTCCTACGTTGGGTGTATAAACATTCACAAATGTTATATCCTGTTGTTCAATTGACCCTTTTATCATATGCAGTGCCCTTCTTTGTGTTTTATTACACTCTTTGTTTTAAAGTCTATTTTGTCTGATATTGATATAACTACACCAGGTTAATTTTTGTTTCCATTTGCATGACATACCTTTTTTCATCCCTTTACTTTCAGTCTGTGTGTGTCCTTAGTTTTGAAGTTAGTGTCTTGCAGGTAATATGTAGATGAGTCTTATTTTTTTATCCATTCAGCCACTGTGTCTTTTGACTGGAAAAGTTAGTCCATTTACATTTAAAATAATGATTGAGAGGTATGTGTTTATTGCTGTTTTGTTAATTGTGTTCTGGATATTTTTGTAGTTCCTTTCTGTTTCTTTCTTCTTCTCTTGCTCTTTTCCTTTGTAGTTTGTTGCTTTTCTTTAGTGTTTAGTTTAGATTCTTTTCTTATTATCTTTTGTGTATTTAGCATAGGTTTTGGCTTTGTGGTTACCATGAGGTTCACATATAACAACCTATATATATAGCAGTCTATTTTAAGTTGGTAGCAACTTAAATTAATGCATTCTAAAAACTTTCTATATTTTACTACTCCCTCCATGTTTTGTTTTGATGTCATATTTTACATCTTTTTATGTTGTGTGTCCCTTAACTAATTATTATAGTTAATTTCACTATTTTTGTCTCTTAACCTTTATATTAGCTTTATAAGTGGTTAATTCACTACCTTTATTATATATTTGTCTTTATCAGTGAGATTTTTACTTCATATGTTTTCTTGTTATTAATTACTGCCTTTTCCTTTCACCTTAAAGAAGCCCCTCTAATATTTATTGTAACGCTGGTTTAGTGGTGATGAACTCCTTCAGCTTTCGTTTGTCTGGAAAACTATCTTTCAGTTCTGAATAGACAGCCTTCCTGGGTACAGTTTTCTTGTTTGGAAGCTTTTTCCTTTCAGTGCTTTAAATATACCATGCCACTTTCTCTGGCCTGCAAAGTTTCTGTTGAGAAATCAGCTGACAGTTTTAAGTGGGGTCTCTTATACATGGGAGATGGTGAGTTCAGTGTCTTCCTATGCCACCATCTTGGACTGCCTCTGAAAACATTTTAATGAGGACTAATGTGTGAAAAGCTCCAGGGAGATTTCAGTTTAGATGTTAAGGATGTCTTATACTGCCTTGGGATGTATGAGTTTCTACTCACTAGAAGACTCTAAAAACAGTGAGATAATCTGTTGAGCAAGTTGAGGAGAGCATTTCCACATCAGATGTTTGATTGGAGTGGATGGCTTGTAAGGTCTTTTCTAACACTAGAATTCTTTGATTAAATAAATGAAGAACATGTGATTCCCCCAAACCACTTGAGTATATGCACTAGGTGCTTTTAAATTATGTCTTCCTGTAGCCTTTCTGGAAAGAATTTCTATTTTCCTAAAGACTTGGATAAGTGCAAAATGAAGGAGAAATATTACTTAGAAAAGGCACTAATTTTCCCTGATTTCTTATAATAAAACATTTTAAATATGTCATGCTTTTAGACAGCTCCATATAAAGTTTAGTTGGTACTACTTTAAAAAAAAAATGTATGTGAATGAGGTGGAGAGTAGAGATCGTTTTAGGGGTTGGGAAGTTCTTTAAGGAAGAAACATGGTAAAAGTCAATTTATATTGTTTTTTCCATTTTTATTCATATGAATCTAAGAGCTGTTGCTTTATTTCCTTGATGAAAGTGTTTTCCAGATATGCCTCTTTAAGCTCATACATATTAAATGGACAATAAAGAAAAATAATTAGCTTCTACGTGAATAGAGAGCTCACAGTCTTTTCAGCATTTCAATCTAATGTTCTGGGGAATTTCACACGAGTTTGGGGTTAACTATTAACCACCAGTCAACTCTCAATGTTTAAGCTATAATTAGTTTGCAAATGATTATAAGCAAAAACTGTTAACTTTTTCTTTTGAAAGGCAATACTAAAGAGGAAATAACATTATTATTTATAACATTCTATTCAAGTTCAATTTCTATTTAAATTGCCACCAAAGAATTTAAATTGACTGCATTTATGTTTATTGCATAGCATAAACCATGTAAACAGAAGAATACCATGTGCGTCAAAATAACTACCTACTAATGTAATAAGTACCTGAAGAAATACCTAATTATGTTTTATGAACTCATAATGGTACCTGTGGTATTTCATTATTTTATTGCTTAAATAATCAATTACCCTTTTTCTCTGAAAATGAAAAAAAAAACTGATGCAGTGTCAGTGGAGAGCATTCAGAATTCTAGCTAAATTATTGATATAATGAGATCAGTGAGTAAAATATCACAAAATTAGAGAGAGTTAAGGGAGCCAAGGAAAAGTAAATATAAAAGACCATTTTGGAATTCTTCCAAAAGGAAGAAAAATTAAGAAAATTTACAGCAAAGACCAAAGCAGTAGGAAGGAAAAAGAACCACATGAATCCCTCTGGTTCTGAGTAACTATTACATTGCAGATAGTTTCAATAAATATACTGAAAACACTTGATAAAATCAATTGCAGTAATCAAAAATACATGTGAAGAATACTGGAAATTTATTGATAGAAATATTTTTTATGTCTTATTTTCATTAGATTATACATCATTTACTAGTTGTTTTAATCAAAAAACACAGATTTCTGTCTTTGTGACAACTGAAAAATATGATGAAAATGTTCCGTAAGAGATTTCTGTTTATAGTTATGATGGAGTAGCTTGTTGCAGATCATTGCTATCACTAAGGAATAAAGATGGATTTTTAAAAATCTGTATAAAGACATAAGAGAGCTGTTTAAGTAACCAGCTCTACAGGGGCCAAGATTGTGTAGAAAGGGGAACTGGAGAGAGGTGAGGGGAACTTGTGTTGCAACATCTGTCCCGGCGGCACCTGCTGATTGTGGGTAAGGAGCAAAAGGCTGAGTATCCATGGTTTTCTTAGGCAGAACAGCTGTGTTGAAGGACAAAGTAACCAAGAGAGGCTTGGGTGGTCTTATGGGGCTAGTGAGACATAACTGGAGACTTTGGGGGCCAAGATCCCAGTGAGAAGAGAGGTGTGGAGAACAGACCCTGATAACTGCTCATTTTCTCTTCAGGATATTTGTTGAATTTGGAAGCGATAAAGGGACAGGAGACAGGCCTTTCTCAGAAGGCCTCTGAGAAAACAAAGCAAGGTATTTCAGAAGCCTGAAGGCACTAATGTGGATAGACTCAGGATTCACCAGGACCCACCAGATGGAAGCCCCCTCCTGGCATAGACCCTAATAACAGAGGTGAACTAGAGGTAAATGGAACTTACCAGAATTGCTGCCTAGTTGTGATTCAGTTTTGTCTCAGAGGAAAGGGTGAACCATTTCTGAAGGAAGTTAAAATATGGAGACTATATGTATTTTCTTACAGATTGTACCTGACATTCAATAAAATATTACTAGACATGCTAAGATACTGGACTATAACCTGAGATAGAAGATTATTAAAAAGAGTTTCACAGGAGATTCAGATATTGGAGTTAGAAGCACAAGGTGCTAAAGTAACTGTGACTAATATGTCCCCAAATAGAAGGAAATAATGGGCAAAACAGATGAAGAGATGGAGGATCTCCTCAAAGTCTTAGAATATATAAACAACGAATTAAATAGGAAATTCAGAACTGAAAAATATAATAACTAAAATTTTAAAAATCAGTAATAGATGGTTTAAAGAAAAGCCTGCACATGAGAAGACAGGATTAGGGAAGTCAACAGGAACCACACTGAAGCTCAGGAAGAAAAAGAGTGGAGAAAATTCAGGAAAAAAAGCATCAAAGACATGTTGACTTGGTGAAAAAGATTTCTATACATGAAACACAAATCTCAGAGGGAGGAGATAGAGATAATGAAGCAGGAGAATGTTTGAAGAGTTAAAGAATGTAGCAAGGAAGGAAAATTACAGTCTAATTTGTGTGTCAGAATTGATTAAGCCAAAGAAGTTTGGTTTGTACACTTTTCTGTATATATGTTACCCTTAAATAAACAATTTAAAAAGGCCAAATACATATCTTATTGCAGCAAAATTTGACATCCTATTCTACTGATGTATTCATAGATGCTACTGAAATTCTTGCCACATTAGCATTTAACAGAAGAACTGAAACAGAATCGCAAAGGTTTTTAGTTTTTTATTTTCTGACTGCAAAATTATTTGTTTAAAATTTTACAGTATAAAAAGTAGAAAGTAGAAATTGAGTAACTCCCTGTAAAATCCTATTGTGTGTGTCTGTATGCATTTATATTTTTTGAAACAAAAATGGGATCAAATTACATATGATGTCTAAATTATGTATTTTGCATTAAAAACGTATCCTGGATATCTAGTCACACACTTACTTCAATTTTATCAGTAGATACATAATATTCTATAACAATTTGGGTTGAAAATATTTTTCTAAAAAAATTCTTCTTATAAAAAAAATGCTGTTTTCTTAAGGGAGGTAAACAATATTCTCCATCTCACTGGATGTTTTTAACACTTCCTCGTAAATGTGATCTGGAGGTACTTTTTCCTTGATGGTAATAGCACGCTTAGTTTTTCATCCATCCAAGTATATTTATTTATTATTAGTTCCCTGGTATATCTCAGGCACTGTGCTAGGTAGTGAAAATAAGAGTAAACGAAACAGATGTATTTGCTGCCCTCATGAAATTTAGTGTCAAATGGGAGCACATACCTTGGACAGTTCTCCAGTGAGGCACAGCAAGATCCAGCATAAGGAGGGGTGATGTCAGGAAGGTGTTCCCCAAAGAAGACGCAGAGTTTAAGTTTTCATGGGATTGGGGCAGGGGATGGGTATGTGTAGGCTGCGAGAGGTGATTACGTAGACCAAAAGCTATTTCCTATAATCTCAAAGCCTCCTCCACTAAAATCTCAAAAGGAAACAATTTTTCTAGAAATGTAAGGTGCCAGTGTACATATATTGTTCTCCCATAGAAAGTTTACTGGCTGTATAAACTGTGAATGATTTATACATAATATGGATTTAAATTTCATTCAGAGAAACATGTTCTTTTTTTCTCCCAAAGAATTTTGGAGCACTTATTGATCAAAAGTCATAAGAACATGATGTCCTAAATCAAAAATTTATTTAAAAGTCTGATTTAAGGGGCACCTGGGTGGCTCAGTCATTGGGTGTCTGCCTTCGGCTCAGGTCATGGTCCCAATCCTGGGATCGAGCCCCGCATCGGGCTCCCTGCTCGGCGGGAAGCCTGCTTCTCCCTCTCCTCCCTGCTTGTGCGCTCTCTCGATATCTCTGTCACTATCTGTCTCTCTCTCAAATAAATAAAATCTTAAAAAAAAAATAAAAGTCTGATTTAAGACGGCCTGTTTTGAGAATAAAATTTCCAAATATCCCGTTATTTTAAAGTGTACAATATTGTAGTCCATGAGGCAAATGCAAGTGAGAAAAGTAGAACACTTATGAATAAAGGGCGGAGCTCCCCATCCTGCATTCCCTGGGCGTGGTCTGGATGGTTGTGGCACCTGTCCAAGCTGCTGGGGCTGCAGGGCATGAGTGCCGGCACCCAAGGCTGGGCCGGGCCAGCTCCCTCAGGCAGTGAGCCACAGCAGAGGTCTGTGCAGCGGGAGCCACAGGACTAGGACCTGGTATAATGGCATGAAAGCTCAACTCACGAAAGGAAACAATCTCAGGCATTTTCTTATCTTTTCCCAAGAGGGAAGGCTTGAATAGTGAAATGCCTTCACTTAAGAGTTGGAGAGATGCTAGTATTTAGCTGAAGGTCAAACAAGCATGCAGAATGGTGCTCCAGAAAGTGTTGAATTTCACTCCCTAGCACAGTGCCTGAGTCTCTCTCACACATGCAGACTCATGGGTGAGCCTGAGAGTGATCTTCAGAATAAGGGTATCCCCTGCTTTAGGTGTCGCCTTTCTCAAATTCCCCCCACATTCTCCAACCTGCCAGGCTCTTTATCCCATTCCTCTGGCCAGAAGTAGGGTGCTTCTACTAAAGTTTTAGCCACCTGAATTACTGCTCGACCACAGTTGAGCAACCACAGAAAAGTTGGTTTTCTTTTCCAACTTCTGACTTTCTCTCCAATCCAACGCCTTTTGTGTGCTTTTCAGAGTCCTCAAGTAGCTGCTTTTTGTGTTTGGTAAGTGGTTTTACTTGTAATCAGAGGATAATATAGGCTGTAGTGGAGTTTCCCTACCATGCTGGAGGAGAACCTCTACTTCTTCCGAGGCAGGCTGAAAATGCTTTGTTACTATAGATCATCAAGAAAATGGAGAAGCCTTCCGGATCTGAAGAGGATGGAGAAAAATCAGGAGCTCTGGTAAGCCATATGGGCCCGAAAAAAAGAAGATGCAAACAGAGCTTTGCCTTTAACTGCTTTTTCCTATTTTCTGCTCTCCTGCTCTAAGGAAGTTTACTGATTTTTTGCCTGTAGAACTATTTGAAGAAACTCTGAACCCAGTATTTTCACAGAGGATATAAATCTATTCTTCTACAAAGTCTGTTGCCCAAATTTGAAATTGTTCACTCAATTGGTGTATTGCCCCTGCAGGAACACTCTTTCATTCTTAGGGTGGGAATTGATTTTTTCTTCTCTTATTTTGTCGTGTGAGACTACTAAGTCTATTACAACCTCAGAATTTTCACACATTATTTAAAAACCTGTTCACAATGTGAGAAGGTCTTGCATAGGCTTGCCTATACCAATGTGTAAAAACTTCCAGCTGCCTATGAAATTGTGAAGACAAGCTACATTCCTCATTAAGGGTACAGATTAATGTCTGAAGAAAGCAAGAGCTTTCTACCAACATTTTCCAAGATTTTGAATTTTTCTTTATTTAAAGTGACTTCACCCTAACCTCTAAGCATGCAGATTAGTGGGATTTTTCTATCCATAATTAAAATATTTGCTTGCAAAAAATACATCTAGGCCTTTCAAATTAGTGTTTACCTAGTTGAAGTTTTTGATTTATATAAATTAGTGCTTTTTGAATAGGCAAATCTAAATATTTATACTCAAAATACTTGTTTGCACAAATCCTGCATACATTGAAGTTAGATGACCATTTAAAGACTGGTTTTGAATTCCTGTATCAGTTCTAACAATTTTTTGGTGGAGTCTTTTTTGTTTTCTACATAAAGTATCATGTCATTTGTGAAGAATGAAAGTTTAACTTCTTCCTTGCCGATTTGGATGCCTTTCATTTCTTTTTGTTGTCTGATTCCTGGGGCTAGGACTTCCAGTACAATGATAAATAATGGTGATGAGAGTGTACATCCCTGTCTTGTTCCTGACCGTAGAGGAAAAGCTTTCAGTTTTTACCCTTTGAGGATGATACGAGCTGTGGGTCTTTAATTAAAACACTAACTGGTTGATCTATACTTTCAGATTAAGCTTTGCCACATTCAAGTCTTGTTCTATTCAATTACTAGCTCCCTCCCTTCAGCACCTCCTTCCTTTGACTGTCCACTTTCAGTATGGGTGGGCTAGTCAAACCTTTCTTTTTCTGTTAGTGAAATAAATTGAAATGTTCAAAAAGGAAAATCAAAAATAAACTATGCTGGCATTTTCTTTCTTTCTTTTTTTAAGATTTATTTATTTATTTAGAGAGAGGGAGAGACAGAGAGAACGTGCAAGTAGGGGGAGGGGCAGAGGGAGAGAATCTTCAAGCAGACTCCCTGCTGAGCGCAGAGCCAGATGCGGGACTCAAGTCTCACAACCTTTGAGATCCTGACCTCAGTGGAAACCCAGAGTCAGACGCTGGGTTTACTGAACCCAGGTGCCCAGATGATGGCATCTTCATAGCGTAATTCATGAACTGGGGTTGTCTGAACATGGTATAGACGAGAATCCATAGAAAGAAGGATGAGAAGATGCACTGATCTCCTGTCTTCTCAAAAGGGTATGTCTGGGCACAGATGGCCATATTCTGGGGATAGAATTTAGGAAGGGCCCCACCCTCCCTTGCTGTGCATTTTTTATGAAGCAAGTGTGAGTGTTTCCTTGTCATTGGAGACATAGATTGAGATAGACTGCCAAATAGTCTGGGCTTTAGTGCCAGTTGCTGACAGCATTTGTTGGAGACCTTGGGGGTAGTTGAGGTCATGTCCACCTTCTCCTTCTAGGGGGAAGGCCACCCCCAGTCCCAGCTAGTTGACTGCCATGTAACTCAGAGAGAGCTCTAAGGGCTTTAGACATTCCTGCTTATTCTTCCATATCTATTTTGAATACACATATAATTTTTGGATAATTATGGATTTACAGGAAAGTTGCAAAGTTAGTTGCTAGAGACTAAATAAACGTGACACCCCAGAATTCATCAGTTGAAACCTAGTCCCCAGTGTGATAGTATTTAGAGATGGGACCTTTGGGAAGTGACTCGGTAGACACCCTTATGAAAGAGTCCCTGAGAGTTTGCTCACCTCTTCCACCATATATAGTGAATAATGAATATATATATATATATGTATATATTCATTGGTGACATAGTGAAAAAATGGCTGTCTATGAATGTGGAAGTGGGTCCTCACCCAATACGAAACCTGCTGGCACCTTGATTTTGGCCTTGCTAGCCTCCAGAACTGCGAGAATCATACATTGTTGTTTAAGCCACTCAGTCTATGGTATTTTTGTTATAGCATCCTGAACAGACTAAGACAACAGTACAGAGGATTCCTATGCATTCTTCATTCAGTTTCCGCTAATAGTAACATTACTGTGATAAATTTGTCAAAGAGAAGAAATTAAGTCCTATTAACTGAACTTCAGGCTTTAATTAGATCTAATATTTTGTTTCTGTTCCAGGATCCAATCCAGGATACTATATTGCATTTAGTCATATCTATTTTAGGGTGGAAGGATGAACACTGTGGCTACATGTCACTGAAAATTCTCTGATCGTAAACTTTTTGGATATAGTCATAAGCAAAACTGTATGTAAAAGTGAAATGATTGGAAAATTCAGTCAGGAATATGCTGTGTTGACACTTCTCTTTTCAGATTTATCCACTCTTAGTGCCAGATCTTGATCAGAATTACTGGAGGTCAGGGAGTTATCTTTATACCATCCATTGTACTTAGTACAGTGCCTTGTGCACTGGAGACATGCAGAACATGTTATGAAGTTAATGAACAAATGAATGTCACTCCCTGAAGCTTACTCATCATGACCTAGCCTAATGTGTCAGCATATCAGTACTAGTTTATTTTTAGAATTCACATGGTGTCCCGATGAATCTGTAGCTTCACAACAATATGAATTCTTACAGAAAAATAGAAAATATTCCATCCTGGGGCGCCTGGGTGGCTCAGTCGTTAAGTGGCTGCCTTCGGCTCAGGTCACGATCCCAGGGTCCTGGGATCGAGCCCCGCATCGGGCTCCCTGCTTGGCGGGAAGCCTGCTTCTCTCTCTCCCACTCCCTCTGCTTGTGTTTCCTCTCTTGCTGTGCCTCTCTGTGTCAAATAAATAAATAAAATCTTAAAAAAAGAAAATATTCCATCCTGTTTGCTAATAAACTATAACTTGACCCATCATTCATACACAGTCTAGATTCTGCTGGACATTACCATTCACCAATACTACCTCTTCCTCTTTTTTATTTGTTTTTTAAGAAAAATTGATGTATTCAGTGAGACTTCAAGAAAATGGATGTTCAAGAGGTTTTACTTGGCCTCTCCACTTAAATGAATGAAGTTTGCTTATAGAGTTCCAGTGAGTTGTTACAAATGTGAAGAGATGATGGGTGAAGTAGGTTAGGATGATCGAAGGTAGTACTGAAATCTCTTTCTGATAATTAGGTATGTATATTTGTAAATGGTGCTGCTGACACTTCGCAAAGACAAAGATGCGCCACGCACACACACACACACACACACACAGTGTCTCCAAATCAACTGATCTGTCAACACATTTTGAAAGAAGCTCCTGTAACAGGAATAAAAACAAGGCAACGAGCCCATTTAAAAATCTGTTTCCAATACAGAAGTCACTAGCCATGAATAACTACTTAAATCAACTCAAATGAAATATAAATAAAAACATATTTCCTTAGTTACACTAGCCACGTTTCAAATACTCAGTAATTATTGCATGTGGTGAGTAGCGACTATATTGGACCCCAAGAACATTTCCGCTCTCATAGAAAGTTCTATTGCCCAGGGCTGCATTTAAAGCTACTTGTGAGGCATTTGGCACCATTTGAGAACTAAACTTAAATGATTGTGAAACCAGCAGATCTGGTTCATTTGGTTAAGTTTAAATGTTTTACTTTAATTCTGCTTAGGTTCAATCTGAGCAAATATTTCTAATGGATATGAACCACTTTAACCAGTATATTCTTTTTCTTTTTTTTTAAGATTTTATTTATTTATTTATTTATTTATTTGAGAGAGAGAGAGTGTGAGTCGGGGGAGGGGCAGAGGGAGAGGGAGATAGAGAATCTCAAGCAGACTCCATACTGAGCAGGGAGCCCGCCGGGGGCTCTGATGCCAGGTCCCTGAGATCATGACCTGAGCCAAAATCAAGACTCGGATGCTTAACCAACTGAGCCACCCAGGGAGGGAGAGAACATTAGGAAATATGTATATGGATTTTTCCAGACTCTGCCTGCACATTTTCCCCATATGATCCAGCCGTTTATCCCTACACTTTGCTGTAATAAATCTTAGCCATTTAGCACAACCATATCTGAATCCTATGAATCCTTCTAGGTGAATCTCCAAACATGGGGTAATCTTGGGGACTCCTGACACACTATCTTTAACAGAATTCCTGTTTTTTATTTTTTAAAAGAATGATAAAGGGGCACCTGGGTGGCTCAATCGTTGTGTCTGCCTTCGGCTCAGGTCATGATCCCAGGGTCCTGGGATCGAGTCCCACATCAGGCTCCCTGCTCAGCGGGGAGTCTGCGTCTCCCTCTGCCCCTCCCCATGCTTGTGCTCTCTCTCTCTCTCTGTGTGTCAAATAAATAAATAAATAAAATCTTTTTTTTTTTTAATAAAAGAATGATAAAAGGGTTTTTGTTGTGGGCAACTAAAAATTCCTACAGCTCAAATTGAGACAGACTTAAATTCCACCCAGACTGTCAGTGTTTTCCTGAGCAGGCTAGAGACAATGAAATATTTTTAACATAAATCAAGGTACTCAGCACACAGTAGGAATTCAAATGATATTGGCTGTATTTTTCTTTCTCTTATTCCCTCTACTCAGCCCCATTAGAATTTAATGTTTTTAAGTGGGTGGACGTTAGGAGACATTTATGTTGCCTGTTTTCTTTCTCTGGTTTTCTTTGCTAGAAAGCACACAATATATTTGAAAGTTA